TGGGGGACAACCCCTCATAAATGAAGATGACCTGTTCTGGCACCTCATCTCCCAATCTTCAACAAGATACAACTCAGCTAACAACAACAATTTAATTTCTGCTGATTCTTAGGATGGACATTTCTGCCATTTATTAAATATATCTCTAAGTGGAGATCCTTCCATTTTTGCCACCAGATGATCCCCTTCCTGAATGGCCCCCAGTCTCACATACAGAAATTCAGCAAGTAGTTCCTCAAGTGAAAAATAGCAAGCCCCCTAGCAAAGGCAGTTTCACCAGAATTCCTAAAATCCAATCTCACCTGATAGGCATCTATGCTAGCCCCTCTCTTCACTACCATAAATAATTCTTTCCTGATTCTAAAAGAGTGACTTAATTCTATCATTCTTCTGATTTACAAAAAAGGGGACAAGTCTGATCCCACAAACTATTGCCCTGTCTCTTACAATATTCATAAATCAGTAAATTATATATCTGGGTTTTATATTATCAATCTTCACCTTGGACCAAATCAATGAATTATCTATAAGAGAGTAACATCAGAATTGCCTATGAAAATCACACTTGTACATGATTTGGTGTAGAGTCGAATCTGTTTCATGTATACTGCCAGGATACCATTTATACAATAAGTGGAGAAAAGCACTCATAACACTAATTGTTAGAAATCTTAATTGCTCCTCTGGCCAGGAAGTTATTTTTCTCCTAGGCAATCAAACTTTAGCTATTTGCAGTAAGGTTTCTAAATTTATAACAATAGCCATGGCTTGTGGAAGCCATCTGGTACCTACTAGCAATTGCTTCAGGATTCTCTGTGTAAGTTCTGTTTTTTTAATTTTATACTGTCGTTTTATATTTGATGTCTTGTAATATTATCTTCTTTTAAATATTGGTCTTGGACCATGAAATAAATAAATACTTTCTCCATTCATTCTATACTGACATTTAAAATGACTAAAATGCTGATTAGTGGTGCTTAAAAGTTGTGAACCCCATTGAATTTTTAATATTTCTGCCTAAATATGACCTAAAACGCAACCTTTCTGCCTAAATAAGACCTAAAACTAGATAAAGAGAACCCAATTAAGCAAGTCAAAATATTATACTTGTTCATTTATTTATTGAGGAAAATGATACAAAGCTACATAGTTGTATGTGGCAAAAGTATTTATCTTTATCTAGTTTTAGGGCTTGTGTAGAAAACAAATCACATTTTGGGTCATATTTATGCAGAAATATTGAAAATTGAATGGGGTTCACAAACTTTTAAGTACAACTACATTAAAATGGTTTTAAAAGACTATAGTTTGTACAAATTAAGAGAACACTGTCACTTTACATCTTACTTATGGAAGCCACAAGTTTATTTTATTTATTAGATTTATATCCTATCTACATTATAAATTCAGGGCTAGAATGGAAACTTAACAGTCAAAGGTCTATCCTATTTTATCATTAAATCTAACTTTTTCCATAACTGTGGTCCTTTCTCTGGATTTGTGAGTGGTTAACGTAACTTATACAATTTAAAATATTACAAGAATAGCAGCATAACTTTACTGGCTGCAGAGCCATCAACTTCTTCCAGCATAACAAATGGAAAAGGACTATGGGAAATATCCACAACATCAGAGGAGCATCAGTCTACCTATCTTACAACAGATTTTTATAATGAATACAACTATTAAAAAGGAAGACTACTATGATTTTGAGTAGAGCTTTTGTGCCATGTTTCCAGATGAAACACATGAATTTCTGCAGTCATTGAAGACAGCTCTCCCTTTGATTTAATAAGCAATAAACCTTAAAAATTAAAAATTACAATTATATTAATACACCTATAGTTCTATATTCCACCCAGAAAAGGAGACAGCCATTCGGCATTGCAAAATTTAACAAGAAACTAAGCATGTCCCAGGTTGAATCCAAAGAATATTATATCTGGCATAAATATGGAATTATTATGATAAAGATGGAGCACGCAGAACCTATTCTGCTCATATATTCATCATAATTTAAATAAATGCAAAAGTAACTATTATATTTACCAAAAATAATCATGGCAAACAGCATTTAGAACCACTAGACAAAGAAGCAACTTGAGTCAGGTAAAAATGCAAACAAGAAAAAAAAACAGTACATTGACTTTTAATTTTTACAGAAAGCAAGATATGAACTTTAAGATATGAACCTGTTGAATTCCTAATCTCAGGCCAACAGAAAAGCTGTATACCATCTGATACTTTCATAGCATAGAAAGGATCATCTTTTTCATATAGCAAAAAAAAAAAAAAAAGGAACTGTCCAGTCAGTTAGAAGAAGCATTTGTCACAGGAAATTGGGCACTGTTTTCAGGCCTATCATATGACAATTAAATATACTAGTGTTATTACTCTGTTCTGCCCCATCAGTAGCATTATTAGAATGTACAAAAATATTAGATATTCCCATTAACACATCCGTCTGCTAAATTCTCTATCTCTCAAACACAAACGAAAACATTCTATTTTTCAAGTGAGGAACAGAATGTTCTAGTCCTAATTTGTTGCTTTAAAAAAAAAATAAGTATCATATATTTTTATATCTGTGTAGGCTACTATAAAAGAAAAAAAAAAGCAGTGAACATTTTCAAGTATTTAGGATAGACACCAATAGATAATATGCATTCCACAGGAAAAACAACTTCCTGGTAGAATTTTATATATCACTTCTTTTACAAAATATGGCAAGTAATTGTTATGATGCAATAAAACTTTAGCAGAAATAAGTTGAGAACAAGTTCTGTTCAGAAATTAACACCGAAACTGATGAGGCACATGCTCAAGAGCAGCCACAGCATCCAGCTGTGGAATACAGTACCCGACAGCTCACTTGACCCCACCATGGCAAATTTCTGTTGATTTTCAGCTTGAGGCAATATGTATTTATCTAGTCTTTAAATCTGTTTTATTATTTTACTGTATGATTTTACTTATATATTTTCTATTTTATTGTGTTCTTTAATCTTGTTATTTAATTTCAAATTGTTTTATTTCTTGTATGTATCAGCCAGCCACAAGAACTGTTTAAGGCTGGCTTATACATATTATTATCAATAGAATACTGAAAACCTGGCCTAATCAGCTAGAATGTTAGTGTTATTTATGCACTTTTTCTATTGCTATTCTTTCTGCTTGGAACTGTTTGTACAATACAACCTCTTACTTCCAGAAAAATCCCTATGTAAAATTCAACTTTTCCATGAAGATTTTTGATACAACTCCTATTTTCCATCACGACCACAGCCTTGTACCCATGTACCCTAGCTGTGGTTCCAACAAAATTCACATATGTAATCCGCTCCTGTATCAATTTAATCCAAAATAATTCAAAAGTATATGATGTATTAGACTGGGGCTCAGCAGCATAGCACCTGTAGGCTTATTAGAGCAACCACACCAGAAGGGAATTACTGATACCCAGTATGGGTGTTCTGCCAACAGCCAGTTATGCTTTGAGTAGATGTGGTTAGGGAAAAAAGACTAACAGGAGAGTACTGAAGGTGGGGAAGTAGTGACAGTGCCAGGAATGATGAACAGAAGAAGGTAGCAAAGATTGTTGGTTAGAACATGGAAAGAATAACCTTTACTGCACAGCCCTGATGCAGTGGCCTCCAATGCTTTTTGGAGAAGAGGCAGAGGATAAGTAAATAGGCACAAGGCCAAAAAAGGCAGAGAACAGGTGCATTTTGCCCTTCATCACTGGAGGGATGGGAAGAAAATTACCCTTTTTCTTCCAGCAAAGATAGCTGTATACGGGTGTGTATGTGTGAGAAAGAGAACATATGTAAGGAAAAAGGATTCTGTATTCATTTGTATGTCCTTACGTCCAAGCTAGACGATGAACCCTCAACAACATGACACAATACTACATGCATTCTTAATCTAAAAAGATTGCCTGTATCTACGCTAGACTACTTGAGGAAATACAAAGATTTTACTACAGTGATCAGCATTTCAAAGTGAAGTAGTATGCTTCAAGAGATACATGCCTCTTATTTTTTACTGCTGCCTTATGAAAAATCTACATGCTTATGAATGCTTATGAAAAAGTATATCTTGTCATTCCAAGAATGACAAGATTTTAGATACAAAATTAAGAAATGTTCACGGAAATACAGTTAAGCTTCATTTTATAATTGCAGTATAACTTTGATTTAATTCTTACCTTAACAACATTTGGCTATTCTTTTAGCAGAATTTGTTCATCTTTCTATAGTATTCAAAATATATGTATATTTATGAATATATAGTGTATTTAAAATGTATTAATAATATATATTTTAGGTATTGTAATTTTTTGCATGCACTGTAATCCTAGGTCTATGTGAAATTTGCTAATATATACCTCAATGCATATGTATCATATTTTTTTTCCTTGCAAGTGAAATAGATAACAAAACTTACCAACACAAGCATTGAGAAACAACCAGTCAGTCTTCTTCATTCTGTTTTTTATTTGTTTTAGTTTTTTGAAATCAACTTCAAGTTCTTCTTTGCTGCCAACAGCTCCAGCCACTTCAATTCTCTGAAAGTCCATTTTCACTTCAGATTCTCGTTTGGTGGTAGGAGGTGATCTTCTTTGGCTATTTCCACTACTGCAGCTTCCTCTCCAACGAGTTCTTTCTTGCTCATTTATTATTGAAGAAGCCTCTTCTGTTTCTGCTAGTTCTATTGCTTCAATGTTGTTGGGCCTTGGATGATCACAGACAACACATTTTCTGGCCTTAGCCCAATTCTCATATGTACAAACAGAACAAGTCCAGTGTTGTGTCCTTATATTCAATTTATTTCTATCATTGTATTCTTCACAAGGATCCACAGGAAAAGGAGCTGGCCTTGTACCAGATCCTGAAGACTGAGGGGATTCTGTGGGGCTCCTGGTCCTACGCTGAGACAAACATTGAGTACACCTTATTGCACGAGGCCAGTTCAAGTAAGTGCACATGTGACATGACCACTTATTTGCACTTTCCATGCTGTAGGATGACTTAACTCTTGGTCTTGCACTAGAATCTGGACATATCAAAGGACTGCTGCCTCCTTCAATACCTGCAGGATCCCAGTCTCTACCAACATCACTTGAACTACTTTTAAATGGATCTTCTGTGATAATAGTTCCACTAGGTCTCTGAGCACGGCACATGGTACACTTGATCGCAGATGGCCAGTTTTCATATGTACAATACTCACAAGCCCATTTTATTCCACGATCTGTCATCCTGCACTCTTTGAAGCAAATTATTTCAGGAAGAAATCTTTAAAAAGAGAGTAAATAGAATATATTATAAAAAAAATCCACTCCTAGTTCTTCAGAAGAGTTCTAATCACGAAGCTTTTGTCTAGTCCAGATCTAATGTTAAATCACAGGAAGTTATGACAAGCATCAATATCAAGCATTTACTTCCTTTTTCATTTCTCACATTCAATTTTTAATTAATCATTCATATACATACACACACACATTCCCAAAGAAATTCAGATACTGCAGTTTTACAGAAATCCTCCCAAATGTAGAATTACTGACTTATCATACAACTAAAATATATAGATCAAACAAATTTCTATATTTACTTTTCTATAATGAAGTCTATTTCGTCTCCATGCTGTCTCAGTTTTTATCCACTTCAGCAGGAACTACGAAGAATGACCACCAGCACTATGTAAACAGCTTTTCCTGTAAACAAGATGAATTCTTGTTAAAATCTTAGTCTTACATACTTAAATATATAATACTTGATATACTGGACACATTCTAACTTAGTATGTTTAAATATTTAAATTTTGACAAACATTTATGGCCCTATAATAAATTTGTGAATCAAACAAAAAATGAAACAGCAGCAGAACTGTAAATGCCTATAGAAATGCTATTTACCTTTGATATAGGCTTGTGAAAAGCATTTGGAAAACATGCATGAACAAAGCAGCTCACTTCTAACTGCTAAAGCAGTCACATCTTTTACAAGGCTGCTTCAAAAGTTGTTTCAGTACATCTATGCACTCACAGCCATTTTGTTACCTAACCCATTTATCACATTATCAGATTCAGATTAATTTAAAAAGCACTTCCATACTATCAAATGCTGCCAGAAAATGATGAATTTTCTACATGGATGTTGCTTTGTTGAGGAATATGCCTCAAAAACTACATATAATTACATACAATGGTGAGATAAAGTTTGTAACTCCTTTAAAACTACCTATAAACTGTAACCCTACAGTAGCATGATTAGAGCTTCATCAAAGTCCTATTAATAGTTAAAGAGGTTCTGGTTAACATTTATTGTCATTGTTGAGGTTCAAGTACATGAACCTTCAGACTTAGTTACAGTGGCACTTCTAGCAGGACAGACTTCAACTATATGTTTCCAATATTATTGCTCAATCCAATTCATCAGCTTGGAAGTATTTTCATCCATTCCATTTTACAAAACTATTTCAACTCATTGATACTTTGGGTATATCTTTCATGAACTATTTGCTTCAGGTCATGCCACATAATTTTAATTTGTTTAATATCAAGGCTTTGACTTGGTTATTCCAAAATACAAGATGTCTTCTGCTTCAGCCACTGCACTGTAGATTTACTTGTATGTTTAGAATTGGTGTTGAGCTGCATGACTCACTTTCACTTAAGCTTCAGCTCATTGATGGATACCCTGACATTCTTCTGTAGAACTTGCTGGTACAATCCAGAATCCACTGTTCCATCAATGAATGCAAGCCAAAGCAGCCCAGACCATAATGGTGTTTGTTTAAGCAGAATCTCTTTACCTGTTAAAAAGAATTAGTTGAAGCTCAGATCACACTGTAGGTCACTGAAATGCAAAATTACAGATAATTCTAAAGTGATCACACATTTTCTCTTACCCATATAGTCTTGCTATACTTCAAACATACAAGATCAGTTTCCCTCTACATAAATATTAAGCAAAAGAGTCCCTTGTAGATTTTATAACACATACTTAACTAATGAAAGGATTCGAGAAATTTGGGGGGGAGGGGGGGTAACTTACTAGAAGTTACCAAATTGTTACAGAAAGACATGTCTTTTCCCATAAACATTTATCTTTCACAACTTTTAATTTTAATCTCCATGATATATTGACTGCAACATTTCATCAGCCACCTCTCTTTATTACTTTGAATTATATAACTTTTTAATATATTGATTAGATTTTAAATCACAATGAACTTATTCAAATGAAAAGAATATTTGTAATAAATACATATTGTACTTCTATCACAACCAACTGTACATGTTATATGTTTACTTAACGCAACTGAGGTAGTGTATCTGTTCAATGTTAAGAAACACTAGTCTAAATTAAGTGTTATGTGGCTTTTGGACAGAAAAACTGGCTGCAACCAACTGAATTTGGCTGAACAGGTTCAGACGTGGTTTCTCTTTAGCTGAGTGACTACCAGAAAATCCCAGGGTTTTAAGCTATGCTGAAAAAGTTTTTTAAAAATCCCAGAAGAAAATAATAGAAAATTAATTCTGTATTATTATCAAGAAAACTACATGGATATGTTGTCCACAAACTCACTAGGAGTTGAACTAAACTGGAAGATTTGTCTTTACATGCCTTTTAACATGACAATTTTAATGGAATAAATACATGGGGATAAGAATTACGTATCATCACTAAAAAGGATTTCTTGATTTATTTGATGCATTTCATTAATTTATATGCTACCTCAATCATAAAGGCAACTCTAGGCAGCTTACATAACAAGATTAAAAACTACAGGATTATCACATTATTACAGATTATATCTTTGTCACAGATAAATGACAAAGAATATATAAACCACACAAATTAGATCCAATGAAGTTATGTTCCTTTTTTCGAACAGTAAACTAAAAATGAATTGATGTTTGATTTGCATGTCTGGTACCAAACTTCTGGAGCCCTTACTATGGCCAATCCCATGACACTGATATTCTTTTTTGTTATCTGTAACACTGCTTTAGCATTATACTTCTACTGACTCATACTATGGATACCAAGTCTTATTCCTGACCAGCTTATTTCAAACTTGATTCAGAATTAAAGTCTTACTAACATTAATCATTCATTTATGTCACAACAGCTGTAATACTAACTAGAATTAAGGCTGAAAAAGGGGAAATTCATAAAAGATAGAGGAGAGAGAAGAGAATGAATCTAGCATATTGAAGGTTAGTTCCTGATTTGCAGAATAATACTTTACAAAAAGCCAACAATATTTCTGCTCAAATCTCCATACAATTATAGCCTCACCCAATGAAAAACGTTCACGGCTATATTGGTATTAATATTGATTTATAAAATCAAAGTACTAAGTAGTAGCAGAAAAAGTACATTAATTACAGGATATCCTAGTATAAAAGAACAATGAATGACTTTGAAGATTAATGTGCAATATTACACATTCTAAACGGTCTAGAAACTTATAAAACTCTTGAATCTTAACAAGAGGAACAGAGATGTCATGAATTTTGTCTTTGATAAAACATCTGAAAGAAGTAGAATAAAGCCATTTCTGAAGCTATTAACAATTTAAAATACCATTCTATAGTAGAATGGTCAAAGTAAATAATCACCTTTAATGTTTTGAAAGTTGTTTACAAGGACCTAAGCTTGAAAATGACAGAGAAAATAAATCACTTACTTACTTATTTAGAAAATTTATATGGCCGCCCAACTCACACACAGTGACTCCGGGCAGCTTACAAAGTAAAATCCCCAATACAAAAAACCATCAACACCCACTTGCCACAGTGGCCAAAAACACATTCAACACAACCATTTAATCAGCTCCTTTTCAGCTTGGAGTCTCTAGGCCCGCTTGCTTGTTTGCTTATTTATTTAGAGACTTATACATGCTGAAATTAAGAACTTGGTCTTATACAAAACTGTTTGTACACAAAAGCAGACTTCATACAGCTGGAGTAATATTTAAATGGCTCAATCACTGGTGGATTATTCCCTGGGTATCTCCTTCCTCCTTAGGTACTCGAACAGCAAAGGCTATGCAGCTTTTTTCCTCTGTTCACATGGCTGAGCAACTTAAATTATTACAGCCATAGTCATACACAGGATGTGTGAATAAATGACTCCAATAGGGCTCAGATAACATACTGCATTCTAATGGAATAGATAATATAGGTCAAAGAAAACACTGAAATCATTCCATTTGCTTTTCAAAAAATTTTGGTTGCAAAACATAAATTATTTACTATGGAATATACCTCTTGAAGTCATTAGTTTTTCAATAACTTCTCACAAAAGTCTACTGCTTCAGTGGTTTTGTAACTTCAATTTTAAAAATGAATCTTAAAAACATGGAACCAAATTCACTTTCTCTTAGTTCATTTAGTTCCAGTGAACTAAGATACATTATCAGAAAATAGAAATAGGATACAAGTCTGAATATTTGAAAAAAATAACATTTTGCAAGCAACATTGAAAACTGTTGATGATGTCATAATACCATCTCACAAGAAACTAGTCAAATTATACAAATGTTAACAATACAGGTAGACAACCTTTATTATGTTGGGACAGAATTAAATGAAATCCACTGTGAAGACCACTATTTAAATGAATATTTTGATTTGATTATGATCCTTAGAATCCTGAAAAATATTTCAATGATTTTCAGTAATTACTGGAATAAACCCATTGCATCTCAACTGGCATGCATTCAATATCATTATTTTAGTACCCTGTTTACTTATAGGCAAAAAAATTCCCAAAGCACTGTGATATACTGGCAGAGTTCACACATCCCATTAAGGCATAAATGTGGTTCACTTGCTTTTGACTTAAAATGATGTGTGAACCCTGCTAATTGTGAAAGAGATAACAAACTATATTTATTTGTTTGTTTGTTCAATGTATAAGCTGCCTCAACTGTTCAAGTGATTCTAGGCAACATACAACGTATTAAAATAATAAAACAAGCAGAAAACAATAAACACCCCCCCACACACACATCTATCTATCTGTCTGTCTCAGGGAAGGAAATACCAAGAACCAAAGAATAAAACCCTAATATTAGTGCAGGATCACAACCCTTCCTTAGGGTCTGCTGAAATAGCCATATTTTAAGGTCATCCTAAATGACATCACAATCAGATGGAATTGGGAAGGAGGTACTATCCCACAGGGCAACAGAAAAGCATGTCTCTGTGATCTCACAAAATGGCATAATTTTAATGATGGGACTTGGAGCACAGATGTTCTGCTAGATATAATACAACAGGTAAACATAACTAAAGAATGGGAAACCATGCTGACCCATAAAAGGTTTAATAAATGACAACCAGCACCTAGAATTCCAGCTGGAAGCTGACTTTCAACCAGTGCAGCTCACAAAAAGAAGTGTTAACATGGGTGAATTGAGTTATGCCCATAACCACTTGCACCAGCTCTAGCTTCCAAGTTGCCTTCAAGGGCAGGCCTCAGTACAGCTTGTTGCAATAGTCAAATTGCAAAGCAACTACGGCATGAATAATTTTAAGTTGGATCTATGCAAAGGTCCTCCCTGCCACAGCTGCCAGTTGCTCTTCAAATAAGAACCATGAGTCCAGGTTGACTCCCAAATTACATGTCAGTTCCATTAAGAATTAACATTGGAAGGTCCCTAGAAATAGAGTACCCATGAATCCTCAGCTACCCAATCTTACTAGGGTTGAGCTTCAGCCTATTTCTTTATCCAGACTGTAACAGCCTCCAGACACTGACACATCATTTGGTCAGCTAGAGGCTGAAAATATCAGATGAGTATCATCTACACATCTATTAATCCCAGACCCCATTCTGAGAGAATTGGGAAGCCCAGCAACCTCATGTAGATGTTAAACATGAACAAGGAGATTGTAGAGTCCTGCAAAGAAGGGATCTCAGACTCTTTCCCTCCCTCTCTACCAAAAGCAACTGGAACCAACCCACAAACCCTGAAGACAATCTAGATATCATGGTCAGTCGTATTAAATGCCACTGAGAGATCAAGCAGAACCAAAAGAATAGTACCACCACACTCCCAGTCCTATTGAAGATCATCCACAAGCACAATCAATTCCATCTCTGTACTATACTCAAGCCTGAAACCTGACTGGAAAGGGTCCAGATAATCCACTTCCTCTAGGTCCCACTGATGCTATAGCCCGATTGTCTCTGCAACCTTCCCCCAAAAAGGAAGGTTGGAGACTGTACAGAAATTATCCAATACTGCTGGGCTCAGTGATGGCTTCTTGAGGAGGGGTGCATCACCAACCATCTAAACAAACCATAATTTAGTACAATGTGCTGAATCCAATCATTATTTGCAGTATTTCAAAGAATGGTTATAAATTCTCTTGGTTCAATACAACTACAGTCAAATGGGAAAAATTCTCAACAAGTACTGCTGAAGTATCTTTTCTTATACAAAAACTGAATGTTAAGACTACCCTGTTGGATACTAATCATACAGTGGGGCAAAAAAGTATTTAGTCAGCCACCAATTGTGCAAGTTCTCCCACTTAAAAAGATGAGAGAGGCCTGTAATTTTCATCATAGGTATACCTCAACTATGAGAGACAAAAAGTTTGCTAGAGAGCATTTAGATGATCCAGAAGAGGATTGGGAGAATGTCATATGGTCAGATGAAACCAAAGTAGAACGTTTTGGTCTAAACTACAGTTGGGCAAAAAAGTATTTAGTCAGCCACCAATTGTGCAAGTTCTCCCACTTAAAAAGATGAGAGAGGCCTGTAATTTTCATCATAGGTATACCTCAACT